ACACTGAGAGACTTGAACCTGGAAGGGGTATCAGTCCCCCTCAGAACACACACAACCATAGTTAGACGATGCTGTTCTATCCATGACTTCTGAAGGCTGGTGTCCATTACAGTGGGAGGCACTGTCCTAATCTCACATACAACAAACAAAATTACTACCACAAAAGGAATAAGGGAAAGCCCATCATCTGCCAGGAGGTTAAAAAAAATTTTTTTTTGAAAATTCAAATGATCAAGTGGAGCCATAACTGCATCCCTAACAGAACAATGAAGCTAGGATGGATAACATTTATCTGCGGCAGCTCAACGCAGGCTCCATCAGATGCAGGGAAAGGTCTGGATGACTTATCGTGGTCCATTCCAGGCCTATGATTTTAAAAGAGGCCCATAAATATCCCATGGGGCCTTCTTACTTTTTAAATTGATAACTTGCTTCTGCTCAACAAGAGCTTTGTGGGTCTACTACATTAATTATATCCGCGAGAGCCTTGCATCTGCAGATCTCAAGGTGCATTGCCGATAGCAGCTGCTGCGCCATTGCATTTGGACTGGGTGGAAACATTGAGGCGTGCAGCCACTAAGAGGCATTTCCAAGGTCACGCAGCACCCTGTTTAAGAAGATCTGAAAATAGACGTCATGTGCTTCTAGCTGTTAGCCAACTGATTTGGGGGTTTGGTTTTCTGACGCCACTCTTTCTCTCCTCCCAAGTCTCTGATTTAAAAATGATTTGTTTTAATTTAGAAAATAAATACAGGACGGGGGATTTTTGAAGTGGAGTGTTTGTTTGTTTTGAAGGGATGTGGCCAAATCAAACAAATGGCAACTCCTTTCAACTCTCCATCCTCATGATTCTGTGGTGGAGCCCCGCTCCACAACAATGAGCCTAGTGGGTTAAGCCATGTACGAGTTCATCCTACATGCAGAACTTCACTGGAGGGGAGGCTCTGCAGGACAATGTGCACCTCTCAGCCCTTAGACTGAACATTTAGGAAGCCAGTTTACCTCTGGATGCAAGGTGAAGAGTAAGGCCTAGGTCAGATCGTGGAGAGCACCAGCCTAGACATCCAGCTCTGGTGACCAGGTGCCATCCATGGAGGCTCCACAGCTTCCCAGTCCCTGCAGCAAGGCACTTAGTCTCTCAGAGCTCCAATTCCACAGTTGTGAAACCCTCTGGTGCCTGAGGATTTTCTGAGTCCCTTGGAGGTCATCCTTACATTAATGTGATGAGCTCACTGCATTCCTTCCACTCCTTATGGGTTAATTCTGAAAACTCTTGGACCCAAGTCTTACCTCATCTCTATCTTCACCCATCCAGCCTCAGTCTGGCCAATTCCATGTATTTGGCACCCCACAGACCTTCTCTTTTAGCCCATACTTCTTCCAAATACATCAGAATAGTCAAGAAACACTGTGACTAAGTACCAGAGCTAGGTCAACAAGGGAGATGCTAATGTCTACCAAATGAGGGGGAACTGAAGATAAGGGCTTTTGCCTAGACAAATAAGGGCAATATTCTCTCTCCCCTGTCCTGTCACCAGCTGTGGTTCCATTCCTCAGGCACAGCCTATACCCCAGTTCAGACTCATGGAACCAGCATCTCAGGAGAGCAGGACCTGACCAAGACCTTGTGCTTCTGAGCTCTTCCCATCGCTCTCCATGCGCCCCTCTTGGTATGTATGTACATAATTGTGCCTGTCATTATGTACACATACATGAACCTTCTACTGTTGTATTAACAATGCCATGTCTACATCTGCAGTGTTACTAATATAGCTGGGGAAACCAAAGCAGTAGTTTCTGCTTGTGGTTTCTGAAGAAATGTATGCAAAGCAGTTTGTATAATCTAAGGGAGCATGTGGGTTGGATATGGGTTCCATCAGGCAGATGAGCTCTCTGCCTTGTGGTTATGCCATAAATATACATAAGGCAGGCCCACCCTATGTGAGAATCATACGTTCCATATTTATGGCATGTGGAATTGGGTACAAATTTGGGATGTGCTGTGCATGTGGCCTGTGTAGCCAGGCTGCATTTTGCCAGAAGGAGACTTGCAATACCCCAGCAACAGTGTGACCGGCCACTTTCTCAGAGGCAACTTCATGATAACCTGTCAGATGGGAAGAGACCAAGAAAAGGCTGCTTCCTGACTAGGGGCAGCTGGAAAAGAGTTCCTTAGTCTTCCTCACTCCCTGGCAGCAAGAAGGAAGGCATTCTTTCAGAGGCCTAGGCTTTGCCCCAGCCCAGCTTGGGTCCACGTTGAAAACAGTGTTTTGCAAAGACATAGTGCAGCCATCCCCCACTACCTTGAATGCTCATTAATCTTGTTTTTCTCTGACTTCCTGAATTCCCCCAGCTTTGGTGTGCTGCATTGGTGTTGACAGTGACCAGGGAGTTGAAATCGAGTTCCCACATTTCTGTCCCAAATGTCACAATCCCTTCTTCCCTCCCTGCACACTGGGAGGCATTTGCAAACCTTCTCTCTGCACTGCCCAGCAGAGCAGGCGGCTGCCTTCTCTGCTTTGCTTTTCTGCTAAGTCCTGCTGTCTGAATTTCACTTTCAAGCCCACCACTTAGCACCAGTTAGCTTGGCACAGTGCCCACCATCCAGCGGCTACAAAGAAACTCAGTGGTGGCACTCGGCATGGACGAAGCCTCTTCCTCTGCTGCCCCCGAGTCCCCTCCCCACCCCTCGCCTCCCCCCATGGCATCAAATCAAACTGCGGCAGACTTGACAAATCTATTTGGCATGGTTCACTCAACTATTTCAACCTCGACAGCCCAGAGAGCTGCACTGACGCTCCGTGAATGAGGCGGAATCTGCACATTAAATACAGATACCTGAGCAAAAGATTGCTAATGAAGGGGCAGCTGAGACCATCCTTGCAGGAGAGACAAGGAAAACCCCCCGGGCACCCACCACACCCACAGTGGGGTGAGGGAGAGTGGGGCAATGCCTAATTGGCAGGCTCTCCATTTTCCTGCCTCCTTCTAAGTACACAGAGGATGAATTTCTAATGGGGAAGAGAAAGGGCTTTTCCTCTGCCCCAACTCCGTTTATTTGGGCAGGACTAATTCAGTAAAACAAAAACAAAAACAAAAAAAACCTCTCAAGTTACCCCTTGGCTCTTGGGGAAAGAAATGTAGCCAAGTGGGGAAAGAGGAGGCAAAAGAGAGAGAATGTATCCACTATGAAAAAGCTGAGAAAAATAATTCTGAAGACCACAAAGCTAAATTCAATTTTCAGGAATATCTTCCCTGAAGAATGAATACCAGGGATAAAGCCAGGGAGGACAGCATTCTATGAAAATGTGCAGTGCTAAGGTCTTTCCAAAAGCAGATTTCCTACAAATGATGTTTTAAATAGCATCCTGGTCCATCTGCATGCTTTTAAAACAGCTTATGCTACAGTATCCCTCTGGCCTGGCTGCTTAGTCATTACGCCTGGACAGGGAGACAATCAGGTGAGCCTTGCTCCTCTCCCCAGGGACCACCCCTGCCCAACTTCTGGCCTTCATCTTCTAGCTGAGCTTCCGAGATCAGTTTATAAATGAAAAGGGTGGGGTAGAACGAAGTTTCAGCCCTCAGCTCCTGGCACCCAGTGCCAATTCAGGCTGGCCATTCCCAACTGACGCTTGGCAAGTCTTCCTGAAACCAAGTCAGTGGGAAACCAGACCTGGCCCAGCACATCTTTGACTTGCTAAGTACCTCACTTTCTTTATCAGGGAAATTGGGCAGTTGTGTGCGTATGTGTGAGAGATACCTGGTAATATCCAGAAGCCATGGTTTTCAGATGAGTGGTACCCCGTTACTATGGTGATTTCAATAAAAAAAAAAAATCTACTCCTTTCCCCGTTTCCCAAGTGAAACTGTCAACATCATAGTTCAGGATTTTCTGGGTCTAAGGTTTCCAGCTGCACCAGCCAGAGCAAACTGCCTTGAGGCAGTGACAGGAGCCGAGGAAGATTCCCTATGGAAAAGATCTTTGGCCTCTCCAGGCTTGGCCACATGTGCTCCATTGTGATAAATCACACCCTGGCAGACCAGGGCCTGGTGGAACTGTAACGCTACAGGAGAGACCCTCTTCCTCCCTCCCCACCTCCATTTTAGGGAAGTAGAATCAGCCTCTGGGAATCCCCCGGACATCACACTCTCCTTCCAGACCTCTGCACCAGCTCCTGCTCTGCAGGGGGCACTGTGCCCTGTGTTCCCATCACAGACATCCCAATCCTACTCTCACAAGGCCCTGGCTGTTTGCAATAAGCCCCCATGTGCTGAGTGTGCTGTGTATATACACATATAGCCAGCACATCTCCCGTGCCAGCTGCAGACCCAGAATGTCATGCGTCTTAAGAAAGTGGAGTGCCAGACATTCATCCATATGTATACAACAAAAGCCCCGCATCACACACACAGACCACACCTCCAGGCACTGCAGACTCGGGAGGCACAAGCAAAGAGAATTCAATGCCTCGCCGCTAAGCATGATTGCCATTTCAGAGCCCATCCCCAACAAACTGAATTTCTCCTCGTTATTTATTGTCCTCTTTCTTCTCTGGGACATTGTGATTCCCTCTCAGGATTTGTGCCCTTTCATTTCCAGAGCTCGGTAACTCCTGAACTGTAGTATCATGTGGTTTTGTGATTTAACCCAGCATGTGGAAGGGACTCAGGCCATAAATGTTCAGTGAATCCTGTGTGGGGAGAAGCGGACTGGGGACGCATTTTCTCCTTCATTTGAAGTCAGAGAACACTCTGCAAGCTCTCTCTCTCTGCTGTGCAAGATGCAACAGCAACTGGGCTGTCAGAGAAATTGTGTTTTCCAATCGCTTTAGCCTCAGAGAGAGAAGATTTTCAGGGCCAGCACGACCCTTGCCTCCATCAATTATCTGAGCCTCACTACACAAGGCCTTCTCTTCTGTAGGGGGTTGCTTTAAAGCTCTCCTGATCCCATCCCTCCAGCCCTGGTTCAATTTGCCTTTAAGGTAGGATCATGGATTTACCTTGTGGTTTTTGCCATGCCGGTACACCATCCAGTCCTCACCATTAGTGCTGACTTCCAGCTTGTAGGATTTGACATAGTAGCCGTTCTTTGTTTCCCTGGAAATCGCTCCCTGTGTTGCAATGGCCGTGAGCATGTTTAAAAAGCGCAGGTCCACCTGGGGAAGAGAGGGCAGGAGTAAGAGACCACCATTCCCAACACAGGGCAGTGTCTTGTTTTTTTCCTAAAGGACACCATCATTAGACTTTACACCCAACCTGTATCTGTGATTCACTGAGACGTACTTGTAATTAGTATCAGTTTGCAATTCCACTGGACAATTAAATTCGCATTATCTGACACTAAATCAGACTCCTTGAAAAGTTACGTTGTCTTTGATCTCTCTTTTGCAAATACGAATTGACAGTACTCAGTTTTTCTTAACCATTGAACATCTAGAACTATAATCCCTTCTTACTAAACGATGGCCTGTCTTGGACAGTGGAAGCAGATGCTGCTTTAAAGAAACAAGGCTGAATCTACTCCCCTTTACTCCTGTCCAATTCAATCCAATTCACTTATAATGCCCTAGCTGCAAAAGTCATACTCATAGCAGCATCCCCTCCCCACACCCCCTCGCTCCATTGTGTATTTAGTTGCCAGGTCACTAAGGGGTCAAAGGGCATGTAGAGTCTGCCCAAGCAATTAGGCTTATGCACCAAGGCCTGACCTTTCCCTCTATGAGGAGGATGGCCAACATTTTAAGGTACTTCCCCTCCCACAAGGCCAAACCCATTTGGAAATTGCTGGATGTCATTCCTTTGCTGGCCATGGTGTTTCTTAATGGCAATATCCATGTGACCAAAATGTAGCTAGCACACACTGGCTAAATTCAATTCTGTAAGCACTTACTGGTGACCTACAATGTGCTCAGCATTACTAAACATTCAAGTAAGTACAGAGAACAGGTGGATGGTAACAGGAGAAAGTATATGATTAAGGTCAAAGATATGGGATGCCAATTATAAAGAACTTTCTGGAAGCTTTGCAGGCTGAGAGGAGACAGATTTTTGGAGAGGCACTGAGGAGAGACAGTGACAAATGGCCCCAGGGCTTGCTGTTAGAACCTCTGTGGACTCTGGAGTTTCTAAGTGGTCTCTCTCCTTTTCCTGTTGTCTGCTTTGCAACATCCTTCTTAGAGCAGAGGTCACCATGTCACATCAGAGCTAGGACAGGCTTGTCAGTGGGTCACAAGGCTATTTTACGTGTCTCATAAAAGCAGTCACTGCTCTAGTGTGGAACTAGTAGCTTGCTTTCCCCTGTTTACTTCTTCCCAGGGGATGAGAATTGGAGCATTGTGCGGTACGGGAAGATTACTCAACATGAGCGGCGAGTTTTATTCAGCATAAAGCAAACAGTGGTCTAAAGAGATGCTGCTAAGCATCTGCGCGCCTTGAGTTCCATTCCTGGTAGTGACATTTTCCCATGTGTTCTTCTGATAGCTCTGTGCAAAATCTTCCTGGCAGGGCTCTCACCAAATAGCAAAGATCATGAGAAGCTGTCACGCACAGCTAGCACCTCAAGAAACCTGCTCTTAGGAGAATGCCCCCATGTCTCTGATGCCTCCCTGTGCCAAGAATGAGGATGCCCTGAACTGCTTATAAAACGTTCTTGGATATCTATAGTGATAGGGCAAACAGCATCCTGGCCAAACAACTTCTCCCAGGCCCAGTAATCTCTACAAGGGTAGGCACAGGCTCCCTCTCATCAATGCCAGCATGTAACCCAGTGCTTGGCATACACATCTATTTGGATGAATGAATGAATGAATGAATGGAGTTCTCAAGTGTGCTGTGTTTATTTTCTTTGTGTCCTCTGTCCACTGTATTTGAGGAGCTACCTCTTGCCCCAGCAATACATACACACTCCGCACATCCTCTGGTATCTGCTTAAGTACCTGGAGATACTCCTTGTTGGAATCCAAGTTGGGGGTCCAGCCATTGTCATTACCATGGAGCCGGCTTTGTTGAGGGGTCCACCTCCCATCAGAGTAGGAAGATGAGGCACTGATCTGTTCATTAGCAATCCGGCCAGACTCCATGCCCAGAGGGACATTGCATTGAAAGTCTGAGGAAAAGAGAAGGTCAAATGCAGAGTTAGGCCTTCCAACCCAATACCCTGGGATCTCCCAGATGCTGCCTCCTTTCTAGGGACAAGTCCTTGCAGGCACTTCCTTATTTAACAGACCCTAATTATATGCTCACGTTTAAAAAACAACTACACCAAGTCATGGAGCTTGACAACCCCTCTGGGTCTGAAAGAAACTAAATTGGACCTAAAAGAAATCAGGCTAAGAATAAATAAGAGAATCTTCATACAAATTAAAAACACAATCTTAAGCACAAGAACTGTTACTGCTACAGGCTACAGATGCCAGATGCACAATTACTGCAATACAGGTAAATGTGAGATAGACTCATGGTGATTTGGGTGAGGTGATACACTGTGGGAAGCCTGCTTTATTAATAAACACCCAGGAGGCACTTTTGCTTCTTTTTTCACTCAACTGTCTTGTGAGTTCTGGCACAGAAGACAGACATTACAAAGCATAAATACCTGTCTTTGGGAGAGCTCTCCATGAGCACGTGCATGTCACTCTCTATTCCCCTGCACCACCTGTCTGGACAAACAGACCCACAAGTCGCTTACTCTGGCCTTGTGCTGTCAGCTACATTGCTGTCCTTCCATGAATGCCATCAACACTGATGAATATGTGTGTGTCCATGTGTCTAAGATGGGCCAGCAATCCTTAACAGGTATTGTTTTTTTTTTGAGACAGAGTTTTGCTCTGTTGCCCAGGCTGCAGTGCAATGGTGTAATCTCGGCTCACTGCAACCTCCACCTCCTGGGTTCAAGCGATTCTCCTGCCTCAGCCTCCCGAGTAGCTGAGATTATAGGCACCCACCATTATGCCTGGCTAATTTTTGCATTTTTAGTACACATGGGGTTTCACCATGTTGGTCAGCCTGGTCTCGAATGATCCGTCTGCCTCAGCCTCCCAAAGTGCTGGAATTACACGTGTGAGCCACCTCTCTCAGCAAGGTATGAATCTATTCATTACTCTGTGACTGCACTAGCCATTCACAGGACCTGGTGCAATTTGCCATACTGTTTCTTTGTCACTCAATCTTCAGAAGCTCTTTGATGAACATGCAAATGCAAAACCCAGCAACCTTCCTGCAGGCCAGGCTGTTTTGTCTGTAGTTATATATATGGTGAACTGTCTGTAATCAGGGCAGGATTTCCACAGCTCAAATAATTTTTAAAACTGCTTCTTTAGTCTTTAAAGTTATCATCTGGGGCTGGGCATGGTGGCTTATGCCTATAACCCCAGGATTTGGGGAGGCTGAGGCAGGCAGATCATTTGAGGCCAGGAGTTTGAGACCAGCTTGCCCAACATGGCACAACCCCCCTCTGCTAAAAATATAAAAATTAGCCAAGCATGGTAGTGCATGCCTGTAGTTCCAGCTACTCGGGAGGCTGAGACACAAGAATTGCTTAAAACTGGGAGGTAGAGGTTGAAGTGAGCCGAGTTCGCGTCACTGCACTCCAGCCTGGGCGACAGAGAGAGATTCCGTTTCAAAAAAACAAAAAAAGTTATTGTTTGGATTTCTAAGTTGAAATGGCAGCACATTTGAAACACATGCCCAAGAGCCACTGATTTGAAGATGTTACTCAGTGCTGAGGGATTGGTGGCTTAGACCGTAAGTCCCACAGCAGTAGCAATCAGAGTGACAGTTTTTAATTCCTTGCTTAGTGCCTGGCACATAGTAGCAGCTCCACAAACTATCTTTGGTGGAAATGTGAAGTCCAAGTCCAAGCAGTTGTACCAATCTCACCAGGAAAACATTACCCAGCCCCAGAGGTGGTTAATGTAAAAAAATGGTTCAGTGTTGTGACAGTGCCCCCTGAGATTTTGAGAGGGAAAAAATGGCCACAGATTGAAAAAAAGCTAGCACAGGAGGGACCCTGTACAGGTCATCCTAACTAACCTCTCTTTCATGGTCCTATGACTTTCCTTGAAAATAACTAATTCTTGGTACACACACACACACCCACACACACACCCACACACACACCCACACACATATATTTTAAAGAAATAAGCACCCAGAATGACATGTGTTCTTCTCTCATCAACCTCTTCCTGGCAAGAGGATGTGTGTGCCTCTAAACTTGGATGCCCCCATAAACTCCGTAAAGTTCCCATCTCCTCTCTCATAGAGGTCAGCCTCTCTTCACCTGTGCACCCTCACAGCCCTGATGGAAGGACGGGACAGAGGTTCCCAACCGGCCAACTTACTGTCCAGTGGCTCTTGATGCACCAGGTAGTAACGCGCAGAGAAGCCATCCCTGGCCACCGCCATGTCCGTGTGAAAGGTCAGGGAGAGGATCCCCGTCGATGAACGAAGTTCAGAGGGTATTTTGGCCCCACAGTACTTGCCAATCAGGGGGCCAACTGGACATTCAAGACAAAGAGAAGTCAGTGGAAATGAAAATGTCAAACTTGGTTTTCACTCTATTTTCCCTTCCCATCTTTGCGTGTTATTCAGTGGACCGTCACTTTGTACACCTTGCCAGAAAAACCAAAGATATGCTTTAAGAATAATGGCTAATATTTTTCTTGCACATTATAAAGCACTTTTGCTTTTTAATAAAAAGGTACAGGCCGCCTTCACTGGCTTTGTTGTGTTCTCAGTGCCCTGGAAGATGAGCTGGGAAGGTATCATTGTAATGTCTGTTCTACGTGGGAAGTAACTGAAGTTTGGAGAGCTCATGAGATTTCTGTATTCATACTGCTAGGAAATAGCAGAGCTGGGCCTCCAACCCAAGTTTTCTGACTCAATCTTGTGCTTTAACCAGGAAATAAAATTGCTCTTCTTGTTTAGGCATCAGGTCTCCTTTATGTTGGAAAATACTTAAAATGACTACAAAAGTGAAAGGTTTGTTCCTCTCTAATACTTATTAGACCCAAGATCTATGTTGGTCTTCACCTGAGAAGGACTGGTTGCTCTTGGCCTTGGGCGATGTACCTTTTCAATATTTATGACTATTTTAATAATAATTTTAAAATTACGGTAGAAATGATGATGATAGCAGCTAACTTTATACAGATAAGACATAGATAAGGTAAGTAACTTGTCCAAGGTTGCACAGCTGGTGAACAGCAGAGCCCAACCAGTCTGGCTCTGGAGTCCTTCTGCTTGGTCATAAGGGTTAGCCACTGAGCAGCTTTCTGGCCTGACAACTTGGAGTAGAAATGAACACTATCTATAAGTTTTCTCACCCTTTCCAAGTAGCTATTTAGTCTCCTATCCTTTTCTAAAGAAATATTTCCAAGAAAGTAGACTGCCTTCATGTAATTTCTCTCAAGCTATCCTTGGTGAAGGAGAAGAGAAAGTCATCATGGGTCATGTAAGAACTCATAAGAGCTTTGAAGTCTTTGTTCTTCCTCTTTATCATCACTAAAGCAATTAACAGGCAAAGGCCAAGCTACTGAGGAATGCCTCACGACATCACTCACCATGTGGAATGCCATCCCAGATGTCCAGCCAGTCGTACTTGCAGTCCCCCTCTCCCACCTGCAAAGGGTCATGCTCCAGGTCAAAGAGCAGGAACTGCAGGATGATCTCCATCTTGGGTTTGGCCAGGATGGTAAAGGTGCAGTCCACGTTGTGCGGATACTTGTCAGGAAACCCAGGGGATTCGATGGTCCCGTTGGGGCTTGTGAAGTTTTTTGAGCAATCTTCAGAGCCTGTATGTGGAAGAGAACTGTAGCACTAAGAAGAAGATGTCTTTCCTAGCTGCCTCTGTCACATAGGTTATTTAAATATTTGGGCCCAAATCCCCGTACTCTTGAGGTTTTTTGTTGCCACTGGAGTGGTCCTTGAAGCAATATACTCTTCACAGGCACGTTTCAAGCCCTCAGAAATTAGGGAGGCACAGCTGGCTTGCTCTACATATTAGAGTGAGAGCAGCAATTGAGGAATTGGGGAGTGGGGTGGGGTAGAGAGAAGTGTGTGTGTGTGTGTGTGTGTGTGTGTGTGAATGAGAGAGAAGTGGAGGGGGGGATTCTCTTGAAAACAGGAACAGAGTCTTCTTTCTCAATTACTCAGCTGCTCGCTCCAGAAATGTAAGTTATTTCAATCCTTAAGGAAGGCTTGCTGATTGCCAGCAGGGAAAACAATGTTACCCCTTATTTATTGCTGACCTCAACACTAGCCCCTATTGTCCCACAGCCAACCAAGTGCCCCCTTCTCCTTCCAAGATCCAAGGTGCCTCAGGGGAGGGGCAAAGGGGAGCTTGGGTCTCATTCATGTCATGACTATATTAAAACGAGCTGCTCTGTAGTGGTCGGACAATTAACAATCGCTGTTTTTAGCTGGTGGATCACAGCAGGCCGTTGGTGATGTTAAAGGCCGCTCCAGCAACAAGTTTGGAAAAATGCAGCAGTGCATTGACATTTGGAAGGCTTCTGGCTCCTTTGTGGTGTGGGTAGCCTTGTTTTTCCCCTGAGCTCCTGTGTCTGCTTTCTTGGGATGCATGGAAGCATCCTGATTAAATACGGCACACATTTGCATCCTGGTGCAAGCTTGGATGGCAGCAGGAGCAGGAACAGGAACTCCTAAGGGGATTACAGCCACCCTATCTCTTAATGCCTGTAGGTGGAGTCATATTAAAAGGACTCTTGTGCTTTAACCCAGCCACCATTTGCCAGGGCAGCACCCCAGATGGCTCCCAGGAGCACTGTAGCCCAGACCCATGGACCCACGGAGCACGAGCTCATACACATTCACGCAAGGAATGAAAAGGCTGGACAATTAGAATTGATTTCACTCATTATGTTCTGATTTTAAAATTAGAAAAGGAGGCAGGATGTTTGAGGAGGATAATAGACACTCGAAGCATAACAAAAAAAAAAACAACCCAGAAATACTTGATAAACTAGGTGTTTACTGGCAGGAAGTGTCCTCTGGGGCTCACACTGAAATATAACTAGGTGATGTCAATACACTGATCACTGATCTTGGCCTGCAGCAATGTCTTTATCCACAGCTCCTGTAGGAGGCCTCTCTTTGAGTCTGTTTATTGATGACAGCTTTCTGAAAGAGGCAAATGTCTGATTTGGAAGAAGTGCCATGCAAATAAGTGGGGATGGAGGACTTGCAACTTTCTTTAGCACCAGACAGAAAATTCCAGTATCTCCTACCTATCCATCCATCACTTCCTACTTTCCACCTTGTGCTGTGCCTTGACAGGTTAGGAACTAGGAACACAGGAGGGTAAGGGCTAACATTTGCATGAGTTCTGTGGAGGCTCTAAGCAGCCACTCTCAGAGGCTCAGCACCCCATCATTCATATGCATGGCAGCAGTAGGGCAGGCCCAGAGTTTTCAATGGGCAGCTAGTCCTGGAGGGATGAGCTGGGGCCGCCTCCCCCAGCTTTGTTTACGATTGGGCTTCAGACTCCTGAGGGCCTTGTCAATGGCCTGGGATGAGGCAATTCAGCAAAGCCAAGCCAGCTGGCAGGTCTTCAGGGGGCCAAGAGGAATTTTGAAAAGGTTAGAGTTTATGGCTGCTATGCAGCATTCTTCGTGTGGGCCACTCAGCTGAGCCTCACACATAGTTGGGAGGAAATTAACTCTATTCACTTCTTGCTTGCGAGCTAGAAAGAGCCTCCAGACATGCTGTCTTAGAGCTTGCTCTACTGTCATTCCCTTCGAAGGCAAGGGAAATCTCCACCCCCTGGTAGTAGGGAATTTTCTGGTGGAATCTTTTGTTGGTCCCTGTCATTGGTGGGGCATTAGTGCTTCCACGATGGACATCTAGTGAGTCTAAGAGAGGCTTGGAGAATGTGAAACTCTAAAGAATCCATAGTTCCCAGGATCCTGAGCTCCTGCATCTGACTGAAAAGAAAATTTCAACCTTAGGTACTTAAAGCAAAAAAAAAAAAAAGCATTTCTGATATATGGCTATAAATGGGTATATCCTTTGGCTTATTTTGAAGGAGGTGGGAAAACTTTTGTCCAGTTTTATCTATTTTTATGCAGAAAAATCAAACCTGTCTCTTAACATCATGCATTCATCTCTAATCGCACCATCTCACTATTATCAACATTACAAAAGCAGCTGGATAGCAAATACTGAGAGAGAAGAGATCTTAGAAAAGGAGACAGAAGCTGACTCTTGCAGACATGTGCCTAATGCAAGATCCTTTTCTGAGATGTGTTAGAAGGTTTAAAGGTTAAAAGAAGAACTCAAGTCAACAAATACTCAAGCCCACTCAGTGTTAAGATTGTCCACAGAAGCTGGGGGATTTGAGTTGCAGTGAATGATTTCATATGAAAGGACCCTGCTACGAAAAAGGCCCACTCTGTTTTTCTGCTATGAATTTTATAAAAACTCTGCAAGTAGAAGAATCTGCAGGTATCAAGACATTCAAAACACAGTGGATTTACCCGGAGCTGAGTTTGCCTTCACCACAGAAGGTGAATTCAGTTCCTAAATTCAGGAAGTAGAGGCAGTTTTCTCTACCTCTGTGAATGACCCAGAAATTTCAGTTTCTAAAGAGTCATGGGCAAACAGGAAAGAAAACCTGATCTTGAACTTATGGTTAAAAGAGCTTCAGGAAAAAACCCAAACACACACATATTTTCTACTGATTTTGTTTTCAATGTGACATTTTATGTTAAAAATTTTTTTTCCTTTTTCTGTTCTGCTCAGGATATCTTGATTTGGGATCTTTTAAGTTTGTGAGTTGTTCTGGCTTACCCTTTTAAATGCAGACAGTCTGGTAACATATAGAATCTTTAATAAGCCACTTCACTTAGGGGAGACATGAACCTTCCACACCAGCCACATGCCCTTGTCTGCACTCACACTGTGAGTCCTGCAGTGGAGTCTCACCAGGGTGTTGTGCCACTGAAGGTTTCTAGAGACCTCTGTATGGCTATTAGCAGCATATCTGTGTTTACAGTTTCCCCTGCTTCTTCCTCCGTATGAATCCCACTAGCAAACATAGCTGTGTTTGTTTGGATTTCTTCAGCATGTCCACCCATTTCTTTCATGTTCTGTAGATGACGTAAACTTTGTATATTTTCTCTCCTGACTCCAACAATGGAAATATGGGTATAGGACATGGCACCTACATGAATGCTCATTTTTCTAAACTTCTCTGTTTTGAATTTTGCACACTTGCACATTTCTGTGCTTTTTCTATGCTTTCTATAAGGCTTGTTTTTTTTTTTTTTAAACTGAGTTTCACTCTTGTCGCCCAGGCTAGGGCACGATGGCATGATCTTGGTTCATTGCAACCTCTGCCTCCTGGGTTCAAGTGATTCCCCTGCCTCAGCCTCCCAAGTAGCTGGGATTACAGGTGCATCCCACCATGCCCGGCTAATTTTTGTATTTTTAGTAGAGATGGGGTTTTGCCATGTTGGCCAGGCCGGTCTCAAACTCCTGACCTCAGGTGATCCACCTGCCTCAGCCTCCCAAAGTGCTGGGATTACAGGTGTGAGTCACCACATCTGGCATATATAAGTCTGACTTTCATGCAGAGAGTTGCTCTTCCAGCAGCAGGTGGGTCTGACGACAGGTTCGAGTGGCCCTGAGAAGGCTGCTGTGCTCTCATATGCTCTCTCACATTGCCAGGAGAGTGGCTGTTGTTGGCAAGGCCGTGTCTCACAATCTCTTCACTAGGCAACCCCAATCCTTAGAGCAGGCTACTCCATTTCTCCAAGCTGAAGCCACCTAGCTCCCTTGGCTGTCACCATTGTTTCCAGGTGGTTCACAGACTTGCCGCTTCATTTCGATCCTGCTTCAGCATGTCCTCAAGACAGCAACACTGAATTATGACACCCTCTTATGTGTTTCATCTTTTAATATCCTCCTTTCAAGTTTGCATGATGGATAGAGTGAACATTGACTTCTCCTGTGGCATTCTGGAGAATGTAGCATCATGTCTTGTGAAATACTAAGTTGGGTGGTGTGAGACCAAGGCTGGGCTTTCACGGCTCTGCTCACCCTTGTTTTGACTTCCCTTGGCCAGTGTCCTGGAAGATTCTGCCTGGAGCTGTTTTCCTTTCATGGTCAGCACAGGGCAGCCGAGTGGCAGCGTTAGCACTAGGGACCTTGCCATTGAACAGATTCTCTGGAGCCCCTTGATTGCTAAGCCACTCAACTCTCCCTCTTTTCATAACCGCCACATGCCAATTGCACCTTGACTTTGCACTTATTTGTTCTGCCTCATATCATGGTTTTCCTTTCAATTTACATACATACTCATCCAATAACATCACCTATATATCTGTTATGTGCTAAGGGTTTGCCACACCTGCCTCTCCAACCCGAAGACGGCAAGCAGCCTGTTTTCTTTCTTTCTCTTTTATTCTCCCCACTGCTCAGCAGCAGAGGATGATCCACCGGTGCTAGTGGCATTGATCTGAATTTTACACAAGACTCAGGGGAATATGGATCAAGCTACTCAGGGGCCTCACAACAGCTTGAGCCACTGGACACACAGATTGTCAGCCCCTATGACCTCATCGTAGTCAGGAGCATGAAAACCCAAGGCAGACAGACCTTCTTGGGACCCGTGCCCTGTAACAGCTGGGGCTGCCACTCTTGCCCAACACAGTTCCTTTGGCCCCACCCCTCCATTTGATTCCACGTTCTTGTTCTCGGGCAGACAGATCCGACAAATATTTAGACAGAGTGGATATAAAAAGTGCTTTCAGCAGCTACCACTTCCTTTCAAGAACTGTTTAGTGAAAACGAAAATATATATGAATAGTTCCCCTCACACTGAACTCAATAGGCGCCGGTCTTGGGCCTCTTGATGACAAGGCTGACAGCCTCCCCTCGAACCAGACTCCATCCACGAGTTGTAAAACTTGGGCTGCTGAAGGGAGAAGGGAGACATATGCATAGATGGAAGGGGAGCCTCTGAGGAGGGGAGTGGGCGGCGGGTGGGAAGGACTGGAAGATGTGCTTCCCTCAGCCTCAAAATAACAAGCTCTACACGTCACAGAAGAGGACATACCACCAGGAAAGCCTGAGTGTAGCTGATGAAGTAGGGTCTTGTGAATAAAAGTCTACTGTATTTAGTTTTGGAAATGAGTGCTGGCCCTAAAGTAACCTAAGGGGGACCTGATGGAAATCAGTCAACTTAAAGCAAGTGCAGTGCCTTCTGCCTCTTTTTCTGCTATCTTTTTGATTGCTTTTCAGAGAGTCAAGTTCATTGGCATTTAGAGAGTAGGGGTTCAATGGAGAGGTGGTAACATGGACTGCCAAGGGGAATTTCTAGGAGCCTTATTTTAATTTCAAAGCTATGGTGTGACCCCATTTGGGAGATCATGGCAAGATATTTAGGGACTCTAAACAACGAAAAGATTCTGTCCTCAGCCCCATGTAGTTCCAAATAAAGGCAACATTAGACCATGAAGCAATGGTGAGGAAGTCATCAAAGTTTTGCTTTTTCCCATGAAGATTATTTTGATTTAAAAAAAACACACAAAAATCAGATGCTTTTGAGAGGTGTTTTTCCATTTGTCTGGTGCTAATACCACAGACAATGGCTGTTCTGCTCCCCCCTCCCCCCACAACTCTGCAGCCAGACCACTTAAGCTGGTAGATAACCTGAGCTGGCTCTTCTTCTCAGGGTGTCTCTGGGTTCACCTTGCACCTCTCACCATGTTCAAGCTGGATGACACTGTCACCCCTACCCACTGCCTCAGCCCACTGGGTGCTGTCCCTCCTTCTTCTCTAAGATGCCCATCTCCCGGCCCCTATGTGTGACCACACTGACCTGTCTTGAAGATCTCATAGCGCAGAGAGAAGCCTGCCCCCTGCCGGGCGTAGTCAGAGGTGAACTTGATGTAGAGCATGGAGCCTGAGGAGATGATGGTGGGTGGGGCGATGTTCCCACAGTGCTTGCCCAGGAGGTCTGCGGATTCACTATCCCCATCCCGAATCTCGATAAAGTCATACCTGGGTAGGGATGGCACAGACAAGAAGAGATCACTCGAAGGACATGAGAAGGACCACTGTGTTGCTCCCGCTTCTGTCTCTCTATTCATTTACAGACATTCAGGTGATTCAGATGGATAAGCAAAGGGCACTTATGTCTGCTTGTACAGACTGGCAAACAGAGATACTGGAAGTTGTTGTGCTTTGTGAAAGCCACAGAGTGAATAAGCACATGGCTGGAAGGCCTTATCTCTTGCCCACGTAACAGCAGGAGCATCATTCTATCAAATATCACAAAACACATTTTTTTCTTCTTTCAATAGCACCATTTTTATTTCCATTATGCTCTCTCAGAATCTTAGTCTCACCTTCTTAGCTCTGTGACATTGCAAGTAGCTGAATCCCTTTAAGCATCAATTTCTTCATCTGTAAGATGAGGATAAAAATACTCCAGGAGGCTGGGCAAGGTGGCTCATGCTTGTAATCCCAGCACTTTGGGAGGCCAAGGCGGGTGGACCTTCTGAGGTCAGGAGTTCGAGACCAGCCTGGCCAACATGGTGAAACCTCATCTCTACTAAAAATACAAAAATAAGCTGGGTATGGTGGTGTGAGCCTATAGTTCAAGCTACTAGGGAGGCTGAGGTAGGAGATTTGCTTGAACCTGGGAGGTGGAGGTTGCAGTGAGCTGAGATAGTGCCACTGCACTGCAGCCTGGGTGACAGAGCAAGACTCCATCTCAAAAATAAAATAAAATAAAATAAAATCCACTCCACAAGGTTGGGGAAGAGGTGGAATGCAAAAAAAAAAAATAAATAAATAAAAAATAAAAATATGTAAGGGGCTAGGCACTGTGCCAGGTACACCAGGGATGTTTCAGAGATATTTTATTTTCCCATCTCCCTCCAGTCCCGTTTCAGTTTTCCCCTGGGCCATCCCTTCTTTAATTGTTAGTGACAAAGACTCCCCACCGTGGGGCGCCGACCTCCCTAAGTGTGAGGTTCACATCAGCAGCCTCTAGTCAACACGTCTTCTTAAAAGGAATCAGCCTCATATTAGATAAGACAATAAAAACCTTTCTCTAAAAGCAGGGGCAGTCTTGAGGGCCCCAGTGTCTACGTGCACACAACCATTAGCCTCAGTGAGACAGGGCAGGCTGCCCTTCTGAAGCCTGTGCTCATTTCAGGCAGAGTCAAACTGGCCAGGGCTGGGGAGAAAGCACCTCAAAGACCCTTAGCTTGGTCCATGGGACAGTGCAAACATAACGTACCATTTTATCTTGACAGACACACATTTTCCAGCCCCGGTATGTGCTCTGGCAGTCCTCACTGTGGTGGGTTTGTGCTTGCTTTCTGGGATCCCAGTTAATACTCCTGTCACAACTGCTTAGGTGGGAAACTTCCTCCCCACCAGCTCCCTTCCAACTGCTGGCCGAGGCACCATTATTTACTGAAAACCATCCATCTCCCTCTCCGTCCTTTTCTGTTTGTATATTTTGCATCAACCTGTTAAAGCAACACTTAAGAAATCTCTTCCTTGTGGGTAAAGGGAGGGCTAGGAATGCACCCTTCTCTGGGATGTGCCTGCCAATGGTTCCTGTCACACACAAGGATCTGGGTTGCCGGCTGTCTGCAGGAGGGGCTGGTGTGAGCTGGGGAGGCCTGAGGCCTCGCTTCAGCCCCCAGGAGCTATGTTACTTAGCCACTTTCAAATAATAGGCTTGTAAAGGAAGTATAAGAAGGAGTGGTCCAGGATTAATTCATTCTTAGACCCCACAGGGCTGGACTCCCATACTGTAAAAAGAACCACTGAAGCTACTTAGAATTTGGAGAAGTCAAAAAGGCAGTGTCACCCCCCAGGGAGAAATGGAGAGATGGTCACAGATTGAGAAGGCTGTGAACATTTTGGGGAATCTGTTTAGGTCTGTGATTTCAGCGTGGGAGATGGTGCTGACTTTGAAAACGTGCTTTCTCATTTCCAAAACAAAAGTGAAAAGATGCTTAGTTTTCAGGGAAAACTCCCCAAATCTTCTTTAAAACCCTTCCTTGTTACTTTCACACTGAGGCAAGCTCTGCTGGACAGACACATTCCTGTGAGCAATGGTGATGCCCTGGCAATGCGCACAAAGGTTGAGAGGCTCTGCCACCCATGTTCGTTAATCAGACAACTCATCTGGACTAAGAAATGCAGGGCCATGGGTGCAAGAGTCCCAGTCCCAGAAGCAGGCAAAGCTGGGCTTATACCCCAGCTTGGCCACTTTTTAGCTGGGCGACCTCAGGCAAGTTACTGAACCTTTCTGAGCCTCAGAAATGGAGGTGGCGGGAAGAATAAAGTAGAGATATTCCAATCTTCTCCTAGGGTTGGGGGTGAGACTCAAATAACAAAATCTAATCTATATAAAGTGTTAGTACATAGTCTGGCACTCAGTGTTGTATTCTCACACCCATTCCAAAAGCGAGGAGGCTGAGTCACAGAGAGAAGTGACCCTGTCTAAGAGATGGAACGAATGAGCAGAGGGGCAGTATCAGCAGGAATGGAAATCTGTTCAAACGTTTTGGAAGGCATTTTGGCCAAATGTGACAAAAGTTAATATGTACATAGCCATTAATCCAGCAATCCTACTGCTAGGAATTTTTGCTAAGAAAATAATCAGACAATTGTGCAAAGATGCATATGCATCTTTGTGCACATATTTTGAGAAAATATAAAAAGTGGGAGGATATTTTGCTTATAAATAGTTTCAAAGCCCAGCCTAGAGGGAGGGTAAATCCAGTTGGGATATTTATAAAATGGAATACTCTGTTGCTATAATCAATAGTCTGCAGGTCTAGATTTTTTTATTTTTATGGAAAAATGTTCATGCTATACTGTTAACTTTTTAAAAAGAAGATTTTTTAAAAGTATGTTTTAAAAGGTATACATACATTTTCTTACATAAACATACAGAGGAAATCTGAAAGACTATCTACTAAAATATTAACAATGGCGAGAGACATGGGTGGGGGGATAATTGGTAATTTTTACTTTCTTCTTTGTAAAAGAATCCAGCCCTGATGATTTAGCAGATGTAGAAGTAAGTTCATCATCATCACCATCATCATTGTCCATGTCACAGAACTGGAGTGAGGACTAAATGAAACATAGTAGGTCAGGACACCTAGAACAGTGCCAGGGACGTGACCCACGTTCAATAAATAATTTTTTAAACTGTTTTTAAAAAGGACCACAAGATAGTTCCAGTCTTTGTGTTGCCAATTTCTCTAGGAAAGACAAAGAGAGGCCCTGACATCCCACTGGCTTGTTCATCAGAAGTGAGAGGGTTTATCTGGTTGCCTAATCACCCGTGGAGTCATTTAGGGGATTAACGGAATCAGCAATGAACAGGGCTGCCCAACAAATGCCACTGTTGCAAGCTTGCCTCAATTTACTCAACGGATATAGACCACCCCCAATCCCTTCTTGTAATGCCGCCTGCAGCAAACACCTCCTTACATAGCTACACACACACAGAGAGAAGGGATGCAATTTGAAAAAGTTTCATAGAATCCAGTCATACTATAAAGTTTTTCTCTGAGCTTGTTGGTTAAAGGACCCCTCTGGTGAATCCTTTTGTGAAGGAAATAATCAGCAAACCTTACTTGAACTGCTTTGAAAAACTAGATTTTCCTATAAGATTTGCTTGAGGGGAAGCGACACGGAGTTACAATTCTGCAGCTGACAGCCTCCCCTCTCTAGTGTTCTGGTTCTGCCCTGTGGACAAGCTCCACTTAACCACATGGTCTTCTGGCTGGGCCTTTTCTATAAAGGGCACACTCCAAATGGCATGCCGACTTCATACAGAACGTCTCATTTACCTCCTGTGTGACTGACTCATTTGGGGAAATTTTTTATTATGAGGGATTTGCTGCAGCTGGAGTAAATCTCCTTAGAAATTTCAGTGTTGTCAGGTTCATTTGTGAAGAGTTAGGCAGAGGCGTAGGCAGTTTCTGGCCTTGGAATAAGTACGGCTTTGCATCCAGTGTCTAATAACCAGTGTTTGGTAAAGGAATCTGGGGTACAGACTCAGAGCTCACCCTAACGAGGGTCAAGTGGGATGACTTGGAAAGCCGCTCCCCTTAGAACGTATCACTCGTTTTCCAGAAGGCAACATAAACCAGCGAACAGACATATTAACTAGAGTGTTTGCATTTCATTATTCATAATCTCTCCTAAATGAAAAAATTCCTTTCAAAGCTTTAACACTACCTTGTATTGTTTTATTTATTCTTTTCCTGAGCTGAAGGAGCCATCTCTACTCTCAGTTCTTTATTTTCTCTAAAATGGTTCCCCCAGTGCCTTTTTACTTGTCTCCTCACAGAGTCTGACATCTGCAGGGTGAGCATTTGTATAGAGAATGCTTTCTCTACTTTCTTTCTCAACTTCAAAGTCCTATGTTTCTCTCCCCAAACCTACATTTGGGCCATGGGAAATTTTGACAGTGAAGTTAATTTTAAGAGTCCACGGGAGAGATATGAAAAAGCAACAGTCTCATCTCTTCCCCTCATCACTAGGCAAACATGAAAAAGGGCTTCCTAGTTTCCGTAACTGTCTCCACGCTTGACACTTCCCAGCAGGGAACCAAAGGCTGGGTTAGTCGATGGAGCCTGTGCTGGAAGATCCACCAAGCTGAGGTCCTTCTCTCAGGGTACGGAAATATCTGGCCCTTATCAGAATCCAACTTTAGGGATGCCACACAGAACCACTTGCAAGGGGATTTCTGTATTGAAGCTGGAGTAATGAGGTCCTCCGAGGAAGAATACTACACCCCTTCTATGGGACTTGGGTTTACGTATCAGAACGTCTATGTGCCCAAGTTCTGATATCATAACCTCTGCCAACCAAGCAAGGCCTCCTTTCACACTACTCACATCATACAATGTATATGGTGAGCTCTTTCCACTTTTTCCAACTCCAGGGCCTTTGCAAGTGTTCTTTCCTCTGCCTGCAATACTGTTTTTTTTTTTTTTTTTTTTTGTAGGAAGAGT